AGGAGACACAAAAGTTATAGTCTGAATCATATCAAAAACGTAAATGCGATCTCTCCGATTTATTGTACATTTTATATCATAAATGTATCACTATATAAAACGAATGAAAAGGAATTGTCGAGCGAAAAATTTTTTATCTAAAATTGTAATTACACGTAATAAACAAACAATAAACATAAATATATAATAAATTCCATTTTTAGGTTATTAGGTATATAGTATCTAAATGCTAAACTTAAATTTATTTCGGTTAATGTTCAGTGTTGATTATGATCTGGAAAACCTATCAATACAGTTTGTTCTTTCGAATCAGTTTTGTTTCTAGCACGATTAGAACTAGAATATCTGTAATGATTTACTGGAATACTTTAAAATTAATCTTATTTACTTTATTTATATACCTTATTTTATTTATTTATATTTACCTTATTTGTGTAAACAGTTATCACATCTTCACAAAATGTCATACCATGTAGTGACTTTTTGTAGATCCAATGGTCTTTAGACAACCACTTATGGAGCTTCATTGCTTCAAATGCGAAAGTTTTGTTTGTTTATATGTCCATCGAACGCAAAATAAGCCCAATTTCTGAAGAGAATTTGACCATAACCATTTTGGTTAAATGTTTTCACAATTTTAATGTGTTTTAAACGATTAATATTGTAAAATCAAAAACTAAAGATATGGTAAAGATCTGTAGCTACAGATATGGAGATCTGTAGCTGTCAGAAGTAAAAGCGAGGAATAAAGGTGAGACCAAACTTTTTAAAAAACTTTGGATAAACGTTTTCAATGTTAAACATATCTAATAGCTTTATAATGTAAACAAATTTTCCTATTTAATGCTTCTTCTAATATGTAAGCCTTTAACAAATTGCTCAGGTGTTTTAAACCTTTTACGCAAAGTTCACGTTCGTCATAAATGTAAGTTCTACCTGATGCTATTATATCGAAAACCAACTTCATTTTGCAAAAAATGGGAAAGGAAGAGGGAAACAAGTGCAACATAAAACTAATTTCAAATAAATAGCAAATATGAAGAAAAAAGCTTCGTTTCGGGAGAGTGCTGCACTTGTGTCTGAAGACTGACTAACTTCCTTATGACACATGCACGCATGCGTGTCAGATTTTATTTATTTTTATTTATTTTTCATTTTATTACAAGATTTTTTACTGCCGCATTTCAAGAAGAATTCAGTCATGTGTTACTTTCATGACTTCAGTGTTAGTTTTGCCAACTACTTTGTCCTCCTTATAAGTAAATTTGTACGTTCTTCGACTTTCTGTCTGTCTCACAGACTAACTGTCTCTGAGATATACTTGCCATATATATTGTTGTCAAGATTTTTTAGTTATGTGACTCTTGGTCAATGTTAAGATTGATTGTTCCAATCGATAGAGTTGAGTCGCCAGTTTGTTGCTTAAGTCTTTTGTTTTTCATTTTGTTTCTTCGCCACACGTATTAAACCGCCTTATTACAATATTTGCTGTTCTACTCGTAAAGTAAACGTCTTATGTGTATGGCCAACACTTACACAAATCTGACTGTTTGTTAGATAGAGAGACAGACAGAAAGTCTTACGGTCGCTTTGTTGGCTTGTAAAAGTTATAAGTGGGTCACTTGCGATTTCATGACCGACTTTTTGAAGTTTTTACTTTGTCGTGTTTTGAATGAATGCGAAATTATTTATAAAAATAAAAATTAAATTCAAGATAGAAATAAAGAAACGAGTAAATGAGGAAAAGAAAAGAAAACAAAAGAAAGGCTTTTGTTTTATTGTCCAAACAACTTCGAGATGTAAATATTTTTTTACGAGATACATAACAACTAATCTTATTTGTATGTTGAACTGAAATCTGTTCTTGCATAAATTAAAAATCAATTGTTAAAATATTGTTAAAAATATCACATGAAAATTAATTAATTTCAAAATTTTTATTAATAAATTTAATTATAGTTTTTAATAAAATATAGGATTTTGAAGTTTGACCTAGAGATCTATTGTGCCTTATTTATGGATTTAGAATAATTCATTGAGTTAAATTTCTTCGGTAAATTGTAGAACCTACTTTAGTTTTGCATTTTCATCTAAGATACCCACCTAAGTATTTTTTTCGTTTATGTATAAGTGCCGTTAAAGGCCGTAACATTAGTTTTGCGATCTCATTGTATTCCTCACAAAATCGATAAGTTTCAAAAAGTGATGTAACCTAAAGTACACTGTTGGAATTTCTATAAAAGTTTTTGTTTTTCTTATTAAAATCATTTCAGGCAGAATATTGCTATAGGCGATTTTGGTTGTGATATTTCTAATAGAGTGTCCTAATTTAGCTCTAACATATCTATTTCTTTACTGCATCCTAATTAGTTATTAAAAATCACATCTAAGTCAAGCAAAGGTTCCAAGGTCGAGGAAATTCAATTTGATTCGAAACTCATGGCATATATATATATATTTTTTTAGTCAAGGGTTTTCACCATTTCAAAACATTCCATTTATCACCAATAAACTTTTAGATAGTTTCTAAGGCTTATCATTCTCTGGTTCTTTGTAGATTCGTCTTGAATTATTTTTATAGAAGGAATATATCATTGCGACCTAAATTCTTATTGTGTCTCAGTTTCATACCTAAATACATGATTCTTGGGAAATGTTATTTAGGTGTGCGTAAAATCTATTTCTATTAACGGATAGCATGTGTTAATTGGCATCGGTCTCATAATATTTGCTGAATAAAATTTCTATTTCTATTTAAACGGCAAAACAGGATTGGTGAGATATTTGTTTAAGTTTTTTGAAGCATAGCAGATATATTGCGCATAGGAAAAGTACCCAATGTAGTCCATGAAGCCCTATCATGTGCACCTTCAGTTTTGATTATTGAATTTGTACCAAATGTTTTCAATTAAACCCAAAGAACAAATGAGCCCACCAGTCTTAGGAGAGTGGAGTATTAAGTTTCAGTTTACATATATATTTAACGTAGAGTGATTCGATAACTTTTTTGCATATTCCTCTAGCATTATTTGTAGAGTAATAATATGTAGAGATTATGGATTTGCACCTTATTCTTCAAATTGCGAAATATAACTTCTTCGACATATACGCGGTAGTTATCAAGTGTATACAGACTCGTTTAGTTAGGTATTTTGAGAAATTTGTTCCACTAAAAGAATTGATTTTTAACAATAGAAATTTGTAAAATTATTAAAAAAATTATTAACAATGATTCACTTGTAAATTTGTTGGAAATGTATTTTTTCTTTAATTATACGTTACTATTTTGGTAACATATCTCAAAGATGCCATATTTGTTGATTGTAACATCTTATAGAGGTTTTGTTGAAAATAATTTTTACGTGACATTCGTTATGGTTCAATTGATACAAAAATTCGATACAATTAAGCGGATTGTTTGTTAGATACAATTGCTGTATTGCTGTAACTAAAAACCAATTCTTTTTCTATACGGCGGCAGTGCGTAGAGAATTCAGATGTATCTATGAACTGAAGTTAACTACATTCGTATGTTCGGATGTTCAGTTAGAAAAACAATAATAATAACACTAATAGTAAAAGATATTGAAGCGACACAATAAACCACAGTAGCAGCAATTAAACTTTAAAATTGTAAAATTTCTCATAAATGATTGCCATGCCATTAACTACTGTTGCTCTATCTGCAACAAAAAGTATAAATTAAATTTAATTGCACGTGATTCTTTACCACAGATATTGTGTATAACATATGTACATATGATATAAAGATACAATACCAATATTAGAGAGAAAAAGACTTTAAAAATGTAGACCAGTAAAGAAAATTATATTTTATGCTTATTTGACTTTTATTTTATAATTAAAGCTGATGCGTACGTAAAATATTTTTACTTGTCATTTAAAGATATTTGATGGTATTTTGAGCAAAAGTTAATAAAAATTTAAAAAACGTTATAAATATGGTCGTTACTTGAATACGCTTCCATGTTGACAGTTTTTATATCTACGCACTAACAAAGTGATATGCTATTAACCGCAAATCTCATTTGATTATTACAATATTATTAATTTAATATTTTCTAACTGAAATGTGAATGAACTATGTGTCAGTAAGATGCGTCTGCGATTGAGTCTACGTGTTCAATTAAATTGTAAAACTATAATCGTTAAAGATGACAACATAAAATGCTTACATGCGCAGGTAGTAAAATCTTTGAGATAAAAACGGAAATTATATCAAACACAAAAGACATGAACCGTAAGGCACGTGCCAAAGATGATAATACTTTTCCAAAAATATTTAATATTTTCTAAGATGGATTACCAAAGCTATAATTATTTAAATGAATAAAGTTCCGTTTATGATTAGTAACATATTGAGATATACATATATGTAGAAAATGTATTAAAATTTTAATGCAAGTTTAAGATGTAATGCAACACTAAGCTGAGTTCTTAATTTTATTATCTTAAACTATAGCAGATCCTAATTAAAAAAATAATTCGATATTCGTAGTTCAAATATCAGTAGAGGAAATTGCTTAAATCTGGTAAGCTTTTAGGGGTTACGCCTAAGTATCCTACCTAATATTCCGCCTATAGTTATTTCGAAACCGATAATACTAATAGGAAAAATAAAAATCTCTCTGAATATATATATATACGATATTATTTTAGGATATTAAGTAATAGGCACACTTTTAGAGAGCCAGTATCTACTATTTGTAACAGATAGAAACAGATATCTTAAATGCTAATACGAACAGCGTTGACGAAATAGCAAAACGAATAACAAACGCATATAATGAGGTGAGCACGCAGCTACTAGGATTTAAGAAAACTAATAACAAGCCATGGATGTCGCAGAAGACATGGGGATTAATAAGTCAACGCAAAATAATAAAAATCAGACTTTTAAATCAAAATAATCCTTCTCGAAAAGAATATAGTGAACTATCAAAACAAATACAGAAATCAGCTAGTAAGGATAAAAGGTTATGGGTCGAGGAACAAGCAGATTAGCAGAAACTGCAGCGGCAATTGGAGATATGAAAACGGTTTTTGAAATATCGCGACTCTTAACGGGCAAGTCCACATATACAAATAGTCCCATTGCGGCTCGAGATGGAAGACTATTGACATCAGCAGAAGAACAACTGACCCTATGGGTTGAGCATTTTACCGAAACATTGAATAATCCGTTAGGACTACAGCCTTGTACAGATCAGCAAATATCACCTGAATCTAATATTACTCTATTTGGAATAAATCATTCTACACCAACAAAAACCGATGTAATCAATGCTATAAAGAGTCAAACGTGGCAAGTCACCTGGAAATGATAACATCTGTACTGAATTACTGCAGTGCGACATAGACCAGACAGCCACAAGATGGCTTCCACTTATTCAAAAAATCTTGAACGAGGAATTCTTATCCAGTTTGTGGAATGAAGGTACCTTAGTATAAATCCCCAAAAAGGGAGACACCAAAGACTGCAATAACTATAGACCCATAACCTTGCTTCCTATTCCAAGTAAGATATTGAGCCGTAATATTCTATCACGCATTTCAGAAGAAATGAACAAAACGTTGCGTGATAATCAGTTCGGACTTTAGGAAAACCGATCATGCGTCGATCTAATCAACACAGTCCGCATTATGTTCGGGTAATGTAACGAGTTCTGGACATCAGTATACGCAGCCTTTATTGACTTCAAAAAGGCGTTTGATAATGTCAACAGATGATTACTTTGGAATATTTTAGAGAAACGACAAGTTTTAACCAAAATAATAAATGTTATTAAAGCAATGTATGCTGGATTCAAATGTCGAGTATTGCACAACGGGTTGTTATCGAACACATTTGAAGTAGCCACAGTTGTAAGACAAGGGTGCATATTATCACCACTCTATTTATGCTAGTGGTGGATGAAGTGATGCGAGCGTCCTTGAAAGGCAACAAAGGTATACAGTGGAACCCATTCATGCAATTGGAAGACGTGGAATACGCAGACGATGTTTGTCTATTCAGCCATAACATCAGAGACTTACAAGAAAATATGGATCACTTAGGATAAATGTAGCAGTTGCCGACCTAGAGATTAATAGCAACAAGACAAAAGTAATGGCGGGAGGATACAGCTCAAACTCTTCGCCAGTTGTTCGCCAGCGCTCTAACAAAATCTCCACCCGCACAAAAATTCGTATTTACAAGTCCAATGTAAAGTCTGTGCTATTCTATGCCTGTGAGACCGGGAAAAGTACAAGAGAAATTGATACAAAAATACAAACTTTCGTGAACAAATGTTTACGACAAATATTAAAAATATGGTAGTCCAATCGCATCACAAACACCAACCTATGGGCCGTTACAAATCAATCATCTGCTGCTATGCAGATAAGAAGATGTAAATGGCGCTGGATAGGCCACAATCTACGCAGACCCAATGGAAACATTGCACGTCAAGCTCTGAGATGAAATTCTCAAGGCAGTCGTTGACCTGGTGCGCCGGCTAAAACTTGGAGAAGAACAATTGAAGAAGTACTAAGAGAAGCGAACTCAAATAACCGAATACGATATAAAAAGGAATCTCCATTGGGAGATAAGAATAAGAGAGAGAGAGAGAGATAGAGATTTACTATTTGAGTTCTTTGAGAGATTTACTTTCTTACTTAAGTTGCACAAAGAATAAAAATTAATATTAAAAACCCCATAAATAATTCCAATTACTGGATCCATTACCCAGAATGCACAGCAATATTAAAACAAACAAGCGGATGATATAACGATATAATGCAAATGTATTACATTAAAAATATTACTAATGTCAGCACTATAGACATATATAGACATTCGTTGAATTAATGAAATAAGAGGTCGATGATAAATTGGTAACGCTATCGAAACTGCTTAATATCGAGAGTGATATTTTATATTATAATTTTGTCGTTAATAGAAGCTTAAAAAAATTCCAGTATTTGCTATCACTTGTGGTTGCTAAAAAATACTTTTTATAAAGAAATTGTGTAAAACTTATTTAAAGGAGAAAATATTGAATAACATCAACAGCTGATTGTACTGGAATCACACATGTGTTTTAGGATTTATATACAAGAAATGCTTAATAGCGTGTTGAAAAATAGATTTCCCAACTAATTTTGTATGTCCTTAATTATCGTGGCAATGGCTAGATTACATTAAGTAAGCTTCAGTGAAAAAAATTAATATTTTTTATGGATTTACCGCAGGAAGTGGTGGATGATCAAATCTTACTATAATTACACGTACAGAAGAATAATTTACTGTTAAAATGGTAACAGATTTATCAGACTCTGTTGGCTTTTGTTCTGATTTACTGACATGATTACATATCAAAATGGCATATACTTTTTGATTTGTTGCACAGACAAAAAATATTTTATATATCCAATATTCATATAGATAACCGATAACCGACGAGATGGCATTGATTTATCTATAGATAGATAGTTGCCAGTCTTTCTAGGAGTAACAAATTCTCTGTGAACAAAATTCAAGATTTTAACGTATTAGCTATCGAGAAGACGAAACCGATGAACGAATATAACGACAGTCGCTTGGATTACTAAATAGATGACAATTTTCTATAGTCGAGACTTTTTTGTGGGGTTACGCAAAGAATTGTGTTTATGCGGACATTTATCAAACTCTACGCGCTTTGAAAACATTCGTTAAATTATGGTTAAGCTTCCCCCAGCTATTGCACATTACGACAACTTATTGAAAACCATCTTAAATAGATCCAGTACTGTTACATGTACTGATTTGAATGATATAAAATTTCATACCATTTCGGAAAGGTGCAAAAATTGTGGAACCGCATAATGAACAGTTCTTAATTAAGAATAACAAATTGTAAAAGATATTCTGTATTTTTAAAAATATCGATAAACGATATTTGACTAAATGTACTTCATTCATCTTTCTATTAATATTTATTTATGACGATATGATGACATTCTGCAATAAGGGAAACTACATGATACAAAGTTGAACCATACCGTCAACTCCGCATGGTACTTGCATTCTAAGTATCAAAAAAATAATTCATTAAGTATATTTTGCTCATGATTAATTTTAAAATTTTTTTTAATACTTAGTTAATACATATATACGCGTGCCATAAAAACATGGTTATGCAATTTGAGACCACATGTTCTTAAACACTGTCCTTCATGTTCTCTGTAAAACATCACACATTTTTGGCATATGTGAAGCGTGCCTGATGTGATTAGGAATAATGCTAATTGCCAAATTTGAGACAACTTGAATTTTCATGTAAAATTGCAAAAAAACTTTTAATGACTTTAAAAATCAATAAAACTACAAGGACAAGGTCGATCTCAATAAAAGAAAAATGAGAAAATTTAAATATTTAAACATTTTTAGAAGTATGGATTCATTTCCTAATTCAAATTAAATGGCATGCTTTCGTCAATTATCTTCGTGCTTCTTTAATGGAAGTAACACGTATTTCAAATGTCAAAGATAGAGTTAAGATACTAAACTATTCTCTATGAAATTATTTTATAAATCTCTGTATCTCTTTTCGAAATTGTTAATACTTTTTTGTTGTATTATCACACATTATTTGTTTTGATTTATGGCATTCAAATAATTTAAGAAATTTGACTGAGAAAAATTCTATTCATACGAATATTTGTTACGACTTCTTTCCTTTGGAGTAATGAAAATAATGTTATAGGTGTGCATGCCTTCAGAATTGGTTTATTAAAGTGTTACAAATCAGGCAAGAGGAATGACTGCATATCCAATAATAAGCAAATATGAACTGAGACTCAAACGAAACAACAGATACATCTACGGTAACTTTAAATATATATATTTATATATGTAAGATGTGAGATGTGAGTGTATCTGCAGGTAGTCGTGCCACCATGATTTACATAACTCCTTAGACTTGACACTTAACGTTAGGAAAATAATGTTACATGGTGCACATGATAATTTTGCGTTCATTGTCAACGTGGGCTTGTCAGCGAAAAATAAACAGGCACGTAAAAGTGGTCATAAATCGCAATTATGCAATTATGTATCCTTTATGACTGTTGACAATGAAAAAAGGGTTTAGGTAACCAATTTCGAAGAACACGGAATGCTTTGTTTAATTATGTAAATTTTATCATGCTCATTTTTAAATAAATTAAATGAAAATAGCTTGTAAATTTGGAAAGCAGATTAAATAATACATTTCTTCTTAGGACAACTGTGCCATATAGAATCCAATAATATAACAGTTAAAATAATAGTACTTCAATATACATACATATCTAAAGAAAGATTAATTATTTGGGATTTACAAAATTTAAATCTCCATTAAAAATTCACTGCATCTTATCTCAGGGTTATATATATCTTAATATGTATGCAGCTTTAAGACGTTATCTATATGTATATTTTAAAATCAATTAAGTATCTTAGCACATTTATTTATTTTTATTATATATAATAGTTTATAAGTTAAATAAGGAAAATAAGGCTATTTCGATTAGTATACATAAAAGCTTTTCTCTATTTATATATTTTATTATTGTAATTAATTATTTAATTTAAATTAGGTTTGAAAATATATTTATTTGTGAAAAAACAAAACGAGCTTAATTCGACTGATGAAGAATACTTATATATTACGTATACTATACAAACCTATTGCGAATCTTACTATTATTGTGAAATACAGTCTCTAAGTAACATATACGAATAACAACAAAATCTTTATATCAATATTTGCATTTATATTAACTAATAGTTAATATAACGATTTTTACAATATCTGATCTTGTTGGACAAAAAAGTAACATAAGGTTTGCATAAAAAAGTTTCTTGTGGAAAAATGTTGAGAATGTTGCAAAAGGCGTTCTGTGATCAAGCTATGCCGGCTATGCTAAGGGATATTAATAATTCAGAGATGGTAGAAATGCATAGCCGTGAACGTCAACTAATGAATAATACGAATATTAAAGATTTGGAGCTCAAAAATCATTTATTGACAATTAGAGAACTCGCTGTAACTATTAGCATTGTATTTGAATCAGTCCAGAACATTTTAAAAGATGTTTTATGCTTGTTTTATGCTAATACCTAGGATTATTATTTAAGTATAATACAAGAATTATGGGATGTAGCCACTCTTCAAGTGAATGTCTTTTATTTCATTCATATCATATATTTTTCTTTGTGTTTTGTATTGTATATTTTTTTCCTAGACTCATATTTTCTGCACCTATTTTTGTTTCTCCTTTTTCTTTTAAGTTCCTGGT